CAGTGACTTAACAATGTTGTTCGCTGGGCTCTATAGTCAACAAACAGGTTCTGAGAGATGCGAACCAACTTTGAGACAGCACCAGTTCATAACCAGACCTTTTTTTGGTGGAAACGAGGCAAGTTTTCAGTCCCTTAAAGAACCATTTTTTCTTAGTGTGAAGAATATTTTAAAAAAAATCGAAATGAACCTTTTGTCGAATGGAAAACTAGTTTTTTTTTTCTTTTTATGGAACCAGAGTGTGTGATGAAATAAAACAATGGCTCACGTACATTTTGAGGGGAAAAGAGAAATAGGCTACTTGAGTGCGAACTCTTTTTGGCTAAATGGATCATCCACTCTGTTCAATAACAGATAGTTGTGATATGTTTTCTGCTGAGGGTCAAAATAAAGTTCTGTGAATGATCATTATCACTTATCGCCATTTGTAGTCTGTGGATGTGGTGATATAACAGCTGTTCCTATGTCTTGTGGGACAGCTAGTCAAAGAAGAGGCCAAGACGTTCCTCCCTCCTCGTTTGTGTATACATACGTTGACTAAAAGAGAGTGTGACTGGTCATAGGCCATTGTTTTCTCTCCTCACCGTTATCAATCACTTCAAGGCTCCTGAACAGGAAGGCCATTTTCCCATCATCACTCCGTCGGCAAGACCATTACACTCCACATTAATGCAGCGAATGGCCTGACCATTGGCACTGTTCTCTGCACCTCACTATATCTGCTTGTTTCATTCTCCATAAATCACCCTCACTCACTGCCTGGGCTGGATTTCGCAGAACTGTGAAATGATTTTCCATTTTTTTGTTCACAGCATGTTTTTGTTAGCACAGTATGGTGCGTGAGCTGTGTAACTTCACAGGTCAGATGAAACCATTCGGTAATGTAAAAAAGATGCTGCTTTTCTGTATATTTATATATTTTATTCTTTTGCATGAAATTATTCTTACAGGTGAGACAATCTATATTGATTGTACTTGATATCCTAATTCTGCTTTTCTTTTTCTATTATTTGTGATAACATGTAACAACATTAACCATTGCTTATGGGTTAATTTAGCTTGCATTTAACTTGTTAAAAGTTGATTAACAGCGTTTTTATTAGGTAAATGACTTTAAAGTTCATTAAAGGATAGTTCACTTTGAAATTAATTTTCAAAGGTAATTTTCAAAGTTTTTCAAAAATTAA